GTAGGCTCTGGATGTACAACTGGAAACAAGACCAAGCCCGAATGATGCCTACATTCAAGTGAGAAAGGCCATAAACAAATGAGGAGGTGAGAGAATGGAGCAATTTCTAAACAGGAAGCAAAGATGTACAGTAACTGGAATAAGAGGCTCATTATAGACTTGAAAGCGATGATTTCAACCTTGAAAAGAAATGGGTTGCAAATGCAAATATCCTGGGCAGGAAAAAAAAAAGCTCAACCTCAAGAACAGAGATGGTAGAGTCCAGTTGCTCTGGGAGGCAGACAAAGTCAGGTCAGGGGAGATCTGAGAGGCAGTGGAAGGGTCAGGGTTTGCTGCTACACCCAGTAGAGAAACATGATGGGATGATCCCCTTTATTCTTCCCAGGCATCCTTCCAAGCCTCAAGCCCTCTAAGCAGCAGGATAGAGCAACCTAGGCCCTAGGAGTTCCCGTGACCCTCACTGCCAAGGCTGGCCAGCTCCATAGCCAGCCTAGGACCGGGCCCCTTCCACTGTGTCCCCTATCCTGCATAGGACCAGCTGTAAGAAACCAAGACTCAGGATGTGTCTCACCCCTCTCTGGCCCAGACACCTGTAATCCATTTCCATCTCCCACCCACCCCAAGCACCCAATGATGCTCTGATATCCTCACCCTCCTCTGATCACCCCTACTATCTTTCTGTTGAGTCTAATTTTGGTTTTGCCTGCACCCTCTCTAGGGCCTGTGTTCTCTTCATGTACCCTTACCACTGGGACACATGGTGCGGAATGGGTGTGCTCCTTTCCACACTCCCTCTCCTGCCCCTTCCTCTTTTCTAAAGACACCTGCTTTCAGGCACCTTGACCGGGCGCCTCTAATTCCTTTCCTCACCGTGTTACTAACTCCCTCCAGGTCACTTTCCTCCTCCTTCGAGGGTTACTATCGTCTGTCCACCACATCTTGGTCCTTAATAGTGTGACCAATCTCTAGACTATTTGATCCTTATTATTTCCCCTCCACTTATCCAATCCTTCCCATTACTGCAGCCACTCAACCTCATGTCTATTAATGACAAGAACACTGCCAGCTGTGGTGCCACACATCTGTAATCCCAGCACTTGCAATGTAAGGCAGGAAGATCAATAGGAGTTTGAGACCAGACTGGGCTACACAGTGAGTTTAAGGCTATCCCAAACTACATAGTGAGACCTTGTCTCAAAACCCCAACCGACCAAACAAAACAAGCACATTTGTAGTATCCACAGTCTCTGTAACCTCAAGTTCAAGTATCTCACCTTACCCACGGATCCTACCATTTCCCCACCATTCCCCCCTTCCCATTCTCTCTGGCTGTCCTATAATCACCTCCTGTATCCACTCTTAACTCTGCTCTCTTCTCCTGATGGGAGGAGATTTTATCAGATAAAATCTAAACTCTACCATGCACTGTGGCTGGAGGGAAAACTGAAACTATGCTGACTCTTGTTTTAAATTCAAGACCACTAACTGCAGGTGAAGTTTTGGTATTCTGACAAGTCTACATATCTCCCTATCAACTTCTCTCCTACTCTGTTAACCACTTCACACCTTCTCCTTGAACTTTCAAAATCCACCTTCTCCAAACTTGAAACTGGTAACCTTATTTCTTATTTCAGTGATAACAGTTTAGTAGTCCACAGCCCTAACCACAGCATCTGCATCTGTGCCAGCCATTCCTGGTCAGCACCCTGCAAAGACCTCTCTCTTGCTCGGGATCATCATTTCCCCCTTTTTTGGATTATTTTCATCTAATATTTTATATAACTTTAAAAATACAATGTTTGCCAGGTGTGGTGGTACATGCCTGTAATTCCAGCACTAGAGAGGCTGAGGGAAAAAGAGTTGCTGTAAGTTTGAGGCAGCCTGGGCTACATAGCGAATTCAAGGCCTGCCTACACTGCATAATGAGACTTGTCTCAAAAAAATAAATAAAATAAAATATTCCTTCATCCTACTTCATCTTCTGATTACCTAACTCACTTATTTGCTTTATGGCAAAAATCACAGTGATACTGCACTCACTGTCTCCACTTCCTTTCTGTTCTCTGCTGAGCCATTTCTATTAGGCTTTCACCCCTATCTAGCCACCAAAACTGTTTTCACAGAAGTAACTTGTGACTTCTATTTATAATCTCAATTTTTAATTTAGGAGCCCAGTCACAACACCTAACCCTCCTTATCACAACACTCTTTGCTCTCTTCCTAGGACATCCCTTGTGCTTGGCTCTCCTTCCTCAAAGGCCACTCCTTTCAGCCCTCTTTATCACTCCAGTTCATTCTAATTTTTGAGCACTAGGGACCTGCCAAGGTTAAATCTTGAGTCTTACCTCTTTTCTGCTTACATACAATCCTTTAGTAAGTTCATCTTCCTCTTCTTTCCTTCCACAGACTCCAGAGGCGTATAGCCATCTGCCTTTCTGACACTTGCCTACCTGATACCTCAGACTTAGCATCCACAGTGAAGTGATTTTTCTCTCGGAACCCGCACTTCCCATATCCCAGATAAAGGAGCCTCCATCCTTCCAGCTGCTCAAGTCAAGCACCATGGTGTGCATTGGCGGGGAGCCTTAGCTCCTCTGGCTCTCACACACCCAATCTGTTAAACTAACATGTGGTTCTACATTCAAGCCATATACAAAATCTGCCTGCCTGCTTTTAAACGGCTATTACTTCTGTCCCTGACTGAAGCCCACAAAGTCAGTCATCTCTTACTGACACTACAGTCCTAGTCTCCTCACCAGCATTTGGCTTCTCACTTCTGTCTTCACCTTACACGTTGTCCTCCAGGGTGGCCTGAGCCTTTCAAACCTGTCAGTCACATTACTACTCTACTCAAAAACTAGAGGCAGTCAATCCATTCCCAGTAAAAGCTAAACCTACAACCCACAACAGGACTGGGAATCCCGCTTGCTCCTGCCTGTCTCCCACACCTGGCCATCTTCTCCCTCTCCGCTCCAGCACCCTGACCTCTGTACTGGCCTAAACAAGCTCATCACACTCTGTTCTCAGAGCTCTGTCATCAGCTGCACTCTGTGCTTGCACTTCTTCAGGACTTTGAGGGCTACTCGCTGTGATGCTGTGATACCCCAGAAGTCATTCACATCCATGCTCAGATACCATCCTAATTGGGAGGCCTTTACACTACCTCATGTTAGATGGCAATCTCAAGTTCCTCCTTCGGCTTTAACTTATCCACAGCATGGGTGTTGCCTGACACATTATATACTTATTTGCTTATCAACTGTTCTCTCAGTTAAATGCTACCTCCATGTGAGGGAGGCTTTGTGTTAGGCACTGTTACATAACACCAGCACCCTGAACACAGTGCCAAGTGTATATATATGGGAACCCAAAGATTTTTTGAATCAACAATTCCCTGTGAACTCACAGCCTTTTTTTTTTTTTTTTGTACCTGAGATCAAACTTAAACTTGTACTTGCCAGATAGGCGCTTATGCTACTGAGCTAAATCCCTGGCCCTGAACTCACAGCTTTTGGCAACACCAATCTGACTTTTGATCCACTACTTATCTGTGTATTTTTCTGCCTTTTATACAGCAGCCTTAAGAGAAGGCACAATATCATCTTCATGTCTCCAGAGTTTAGAACAGCACTGTCCAACAGATCTTCCTACAGTGGAAACATTCTATTATGTCACTGTCCATGCAGTGGTCACTGACCATGCGCATCTACTGGACATGTGAAATGCGGCAATGTATGAGTAAAGGAACCAAATTTTAAAATGTATTAAATCTTAAAGTTAAATGGTCACACGTGGGTATAGCTACTGCATTGTATAGCAAAGATCTAGAGCATAAAGTGGAGCATACAAAATGGAACAATAAAAATATTACAAATGATATGAAAAAATTATAAATTAACTGCCTTCCTGCCAGTGCTGATGACAATCTACAAGCAATGGCAAACCTATGGCATATGTCTCACAGTGGGCACCTGAGCCAAGCCACCCCAGCATCACGCCAGCAGCTGAGTGTCAGGTAACACAGAAGTGTCAAATGCAAACTTATCTTTCATTAAAAAGCTGTTTGTATCATTGAAAGCTTTGTTATTGTGTAAGGCAAACACGTTTGTTTTTCTAAACTAAAGCTTTAGTATTTGACTTTAATTGCAGTGCTGACACTGCAATAACTTTGCAATAAATAAGTAGGTTTTGGATTTCAGTCTGGGCACTCGGTCTCCATCCCTGATCTATGAGCTCTTGTATTTATTACGATTTACAGAGTTCACTTCGAGCAGTTACATACTTATCTTATAGACTCTGGACCCTCACAGACTAGCCCAGAGTCCTGCCATCAAGACATGCAGAACAAACACGGTGACAAGGAAGTAAATCAGAAAGGGAAAGAAACAGAAAAGATACTCATGTGATAGAACTCAGCTTCAAGTGTTCCACTCTGTCAGCCACGCAAAAATATGTCTGAATGCAAATAAGAAAGCACAAAGCTGTTCCGCTCCACTCCTATTTTTAACGCTGAAGGAAGGAACTCTTATCAAGTCTCACGGGTAAATCGCTGATACAAGAAACAAAGGCTTTTTTAAATTATTATTTTAAGAAAGAAAGAACTCTTACTAGGCTTCGGTGCCTTCGAAAGCTTTTAATTCCGTGTTACTTCACCTGTCGGTGACCTGTCTGCTGGCCTCCAACCTCACTACATTTGAAACACTCCCCACACTCACAGCCCCTCATTTTCCAGCGCCGCCGCCGAGACTGTGGGCGTCCCGGAGCTCCGCCTGGGAGCGGCGCGCACATCTGTCGGAGCACAAGGGCTCCGGGCGCGCACCGGACGGGCAGACGCCACCCGGGCAGGGGGCGGAACTCACGGCGCGAAGTGTCCGCGGGCACACCCGAGGGCGTCCCTAGCCCAAGGAAGGCAGGCCGGAGGCGGCGGGACGTTCCCCGCCCGATCCGCCCCTCAGTCCTCGCCCCGGCCAGCAGGCCGGGAGCCAGCGCGGGGTCGTTACCTGTGAGGTCAGGCCTTGCTCCTCGTCGTCCTGACCACTCAGGACCCGCCGCAGCTTCTCCATGGCCCCGTCAGCGGGCCGCAGTGCGGTCCTCTCGCCCGCCGGTAGCTCGCACCCACCCGGAAACCCGGAACCCGAACCCCAACGCTCCAGCCGGAAGTGCGGGCTCACCGCATCCGGAGCTCTTGCGCCGCATCCTGGGCAGTCCGCGCAAGCGCATCTCCTCCCTCTCCGCGCTCTGTGAAGTGGGGGTGTAAGTCGTTCAAGTTGTGCTTTGCATCTGTCTGCGCGCTCCGCGGGGAATGCGCGGTGCGTCCCGGGTCCTAGATGGAACACAGCGTTGAGTTCAATCCTGCACGCCGCGGACGCTCACCCTGCAGGCGTGGCATCCTGCAGACAGCCGGGAGAGTCTTGCTGGGCGAGGTCGCCGTGGGGATGACCCAGAGCGTGTCCCGGACTGCTGCTCTGGGATCACCAGAGACCCCTACAATCGTGCCCCCCACCCCGCCCCTTCCCTGGCCTCCTAGACCTGAGGGACAAATGTCTTAGATAGATAACACCTCACGCTGTCGCCACAAATACAGAGGCTTGCGGGTTTGCCTTTTGTTTTGCAAGAGGAATTCACTTACACAACCCATCTGCTACTTTGGCATCAAACCTGCGAGCCTTTGAATAAGTGGTTACTGTTCTCCGTCCAATGCTGGGTGGTCAAAGTGACATTTTTTTCCTTCTGTTACCATGCTGCAAAGGAAAGCTGAAATATTAAGGCTGCCTGCCTCGTATGCGTTCCAGAGGAACATGGAGTTTTTCAAGAGCGTGCTATGCCACTCCACTTACTGAGTAATTTTGCTCTTCCAAATGCTTTTTGATCTGAGGAGATGGTAATGAAAATCTTAGTTTGTTCATGTAACCCATTTTTCTCTCCCTAAAATTTGATCACTAAAAGAGGAATCCCCAAAAGATTTGTCCATTTTACTGCCTTCAACATAAGACATTTTTCCTGCTCTCAGATAAAAGCAGGTATTACAAAGCCTCTTAAAAAATGGGTCTATATACTTTCTCAGAAAACAGCCTTGTGCCCAGGAGCCTTCAGGCAGAAAGTACATTTGGTCTATTCGTTTCCAACTGATTTTTCATCCTTTTGTCTTTTAAAGCTCAGAAAACATAAAATCTAGAAAACATGCCTATAATCCAAGCTACTCAGGAGACAAAAGCAAGAGGACTCCAAATTAGAGGCAGCATGGGGAATTTACAAAGCCCCTGTAACAAAATTTTATAATTTAAAAAGAAATGTTAAAAATCCCTGTGCTATTGAATAGCAATACATTTATAAATTCTTTCAAAATTGGCCTTTTGAAGTATGATAACTTCAGCTTTCCATAAAAATGAAATAAATTAGCCAGATGTTGTGGTGCATGCCTGTAATACCAGCACTTGGGGAGCAGAGGCAGGCAGATCACAAGTTCAAGGCCAGCCTGGGCTACAAAGTGAGTTTAAGGCCACTGTGAACTACATAGTGAAACACACACACACACACACACACACACACACACACAAAGAAAAAGAAGTAAACTAACACCGCTAGTAATGGAAAAAATGTTTTCCAAGGGTTCATAGGCTGAAACACAAAAGTGCCAAAGATCAAGTAATAAAATTAAAACTAAAAAGGACATTTTCATGTGGTCAACCTGTATCAGAGTATAAGAAATTTACTTTAAAAATATAGAATACTTAAGAATGCTATGTTTTTCCTGTGCCTTAGGAGCTAATCTTGACTTGATGAAAAGTACTGAACAAAGTTTATTTGAGATATAAGCTCTTTGGACCTGATAAAATGATTGGGAGTCAAGGTTCTGGAGTGAGACTACCTAGTTAGAGTCTTAGTTCCATCTTTTTATAGCTGCTAGATTTGGAGAATTCAGTCTAAACTTCTCAATCATCCTCTTCTGTGTGAAAATTGACATCATTCTGACCACCTGGGACTATTATGAGAGTTAAATGAAATAATGCTGTTATCAGTTGCTGTCATTCACAAGTTCTATATTTACAAATGCACTGACCCACTAAGAGGTATCATGCCAAATCAATGAACACACACAGTACTTTGGAAGTCATTTAGGTGCATAGACATAGGGATGATCAGTTTAAATTGCCAAAAGAATGCATTATCAGCTATTGGATCCTGACCTAGATCCCTGATCTCCCAAACAAGTGTACAGCAGAGGTTAAATAAAAAGAGACAAATTGTATGATTTTTTTAGGGCTCCAGGAGGGTCAAAACCCTTTAATTAAGCTCGAAACTCTGAGGGCTAAGACGAAGAGTTCTCTGAACGGCCCACTTTACTTATGAGGTCCAACAACAAGGGGAGGGGAAAATGAGGAAAGTGCAGGCAATGAGCAGAACCTTGGGAGTCACTTCAAGAATGTCTCTAAGTAATGAATCAAGTCACTTCAGTAAACTGTCTTGTCATGAAGACATGGTAGGAGTGAGACTGTAGGAATAATTCCTGCAGCTGAAGTCTCTATCTTGTTAATTAGTGTTGGAGCCAGGTGTCTGCAGCTATGGCCTTATCGTGCCCTTTGAGGTATCTCTGGCCTCACAGGCCACTACCAGCCTCAGCCAGGACCAGTAATTCACAGAGGTTCACTTACTGTGAATCAGCTCCCGTCGCCAGGCAAGGGGCCGAGGTCTAGGACAGACTCACAGATAAACATAGGAAACCAGTTAGTAAAATTTAAATCCTGCTCAGAGCTGCTGGGTAATGGTCTCCAACAACCAGCTGAGACTGAACAGGATGTGGCTCTGTTCTCTTATTTCAGCTCATACTGTAAACAGATGTTCTTTTCACAACTTACTGTCGCCTTTTTGCATTATGTGCTTTTTTGTTAATTTCACTGTTGAAGAAAGGCCTGAGCCCAGTGCCGAAGTGCTGTGGAGGCACCTGAGCACAAAGCTGCGATGTACCTTGTTGAAAGATAGCTGTATACAGGGAGCTTCATTCAGGCATCAGTGATGGTGCTTGATTATGTATTAACATGTCTTTGACTGTAAAAACACATGAAGTAAGGTTACGCATTGGTGAGCTGACAAAAATGTTGAGAGGTTGAGGCAGGAGCATCTCAATGACCAACTCTTGTACTTTCCCTAGGAACAGTGTATCTCCAAATTCAGTGTTTGTGCTGGCAATAGAAACTCAGTTAATGAGAACTGCTCATACCTGTAAATACTTTGAACAGAGTCTAGTGGACAGCAATTGCTGAACAAATTTTGGTTTTTATAATTATTGTTTCATCACATAAAATTTCTGCTCTAGATCCCTGTCTTTCCATCCTAGTGAATTATTGAACATTCCTTAAGGAAACCTAACTGTGCCTTTAGCACTTGCTCAGAAACCTAGAAAAAACTCTTTAAATTGATTCCTATATTCCTTGCTCTTTCTACCCCCAGACATGGAATTTTCTGGGTCTAGTCAGGCTTTTGATCACAGGGAGGTTCCAAATGGAGAGAAGCCAGGAATTTGAAGAGTATCCTTCCTTTGCATTGATATGAGCACCTATCCTACCCTGCTGTACTCCAGCTCTGCCAGAGAAGGAGTTGAATTGGCATACTCTCATACCTGAATGGGCCACTACCCTTCGTCTGACAACTGGAAAGCAAGTAAGAGAGGCGAAGTGTGCAGAGAAGGGCCCCTTTTCTGTGAGATCAAGGTCTCTCTGAGTTGAGCAGTGCAGAAACCGGGGAGACCAGGCCTAGCTTACCCTCCAGAAGTCCAGACTTGAGACGCTGCCCTGGGCCCAGCCAGGATCCCTCATGGACCACCCAGGTGATCTTGACCAAAGGGACTCAACTGACAGATAATTTCTAAGGCAAAGCTCATCATAGAGTTATGTGGCGTTCCTTCCTTGATGGCAGAATTAGAAACATTCTGAAATTCAGGTAACAAAGAAGCTTGACAGTTAAGGCTTTAGATCTCCTGTTCTCGTCTTGAGAATTTCTTGCTGTTCTTGGTAGAAAATACCAAATGCATCAAGCACTCTTCTATGACAGTTTATGGGAAGTTACACTAGAAAAGTCTCTGAATGTCGGTGTCGCTCCCGGCCGGCAGGAAGAACACACGACAAATTCTGATGGTGTGCAACCTTGTCTTTATTTGTCTCCGCGTGGGCCGCGCGAGGCCTCTGCTCTGCCACCAGTCCTTTCTCACCGGTGGACTTCCTCTATCTCCTCCCGCAGGGAGGGTCACATACATATATATATGGACTCATCATCCAGTAGGGCAACAGCAAGCAATGCAAGCTGATTGGTCATCGTCATTGGTTGCTAGGTAGACCAATCTATTGCGCGGGCTGTTTAAGTCGCCAGGGCAATCAGGGGGCGGAAGCAGGCGCCATCTTGGCTCACTCGATGGGAGGGGTAATTTAGCTCAGGCTTTGCCTTTTCCTACAGGCCGCATGACCGCCAAGTAAGGCGACCGGGCTCGGCCGCGGCTCCCAACATCTGAATAGTTATAAATAAGTTTTCTAATAACTGTGTGTGACCCATGAGTTTAAGGTAAATCTAATAGTTAAGCATTGATATTCTCTCATAAGCTTGTCTCAATTGCTTCTGATGTGATAGCAAATCCTGGTACAAATGGCAACACAGTAACTATTTATTCTCTATAAAGGTCCCTGAAGGCCTTGTGAATGAATGAAGTCAGTTTCTTATTATCAGAGTCAGGTTGTGGTTGCCTGATGCTAGAGTAAAAGACCAGCAGGACCCAAGAATCAAGGTAGGAGTGAATAAGGGCTTGACTTTTATAGCGTGGGTGAGCAAGGAAACATTATGAGGGAATATGACTGAAGGGTGAAGAAATGAGGCAGACGTACAGCCTTTGTTACAATTGTGTTGCATCCTTTTCTGAACAGACTTGAATTCTTCTCTTTTATGCATTTTGGTACATCAGTGTGGGGTGAGAGAAGTGAGTGCCTTCACTTCCCTTGGCTTTACCTAGGGGACATGAGGAAGATGGAGAGCAGCCCCTGGCCCAGGGAAGACAGCATGCAGGACAATAGGTTTTGCATGGTTGGAGGGGCAGACAATCCCAGTGGACAAGCAGCACAAAAGATGAGCTCCGCAGACCCTGTAGTGTGGTCCAGCTCACAGCCACAGCCAAGGAGG